AGGCGCTTGGTGGGCGAGCTCTGGATGGCCATGACGATGAGCGCGATGTACGAGTAGGGCGGCTTCTCCGGCCGGATGCCCGCGTTCGTCTTCTTGGCCTTGGACGCGCCGAGGACGCGGGGTCCATGGCCGCGCCGCGCCGCCGCCGCCGCCGCCGCCGCCGTGCGGTGGCTGCTGCTTCTCGGCGCCGAAGACATCGGGTGCCTGCTGCCGCCGCCGCCGCTGCCGCCGCTGCTACTGCGCCGCCGAGGAGCCGGGAGGAGAGGAGGAGGAGGAAGGGGAGGAGGAGGAGGAGGGGGAGGAGGGCGCGGGGGAGGGGGCTGCCGTGCGCGGGGTGGCTGCACCTCTGCCGTCATCGGCGGCCACTTCTCCGACTCGAGCCTCGGCGCGCCCTCCCCCGCTCGCCGCCCTCCCCGAGGAGCCGCGGGATCCGCCGGCGGTTGGCTCGGGCCCCCCTCGCTTTTCCAACTCCCTCCTCCCCACCCCTCCCCCCTCCCTCCCTCTCTCCCTCCCACAAGGGAAGGAGCGGAGAGGAGGCCGAGGGCGGCCGGGGCGGAGGCCGAGGAAGTTCCCCCCAGACCTTTTACGGGGGGAGGCACCACCTCCAGGGCCTGCGGCCGTGCGCGCCTACCGGGAGTGGCGCTCGGCTCCACCACTGGGCCGAGGCCGCCTTCCCTGCATCTGCGCTCCGCGGCCCCTCGCCGGCCGGCGCAAGACCCTCCAGGAGTTCCCTCCCGCCCTGCCCCCCGCTGGCCCCCGCGTCGGTGGCGCTTAAAGAGCCCCCACCCCTGCCGACCCGCGGCTGCCGGCAGAGCCTGCCCCGCCTCCACCAACCTGGCGAGCAGTGTTAACGCGCCCTCCGCCCGCGGCTCAGCCCCGGTGCGCGCAGGCCCCCAGCCTTGCAGGCCCGCGGGGCGCGCAGAGAGGAAAGCGCCCTCGGCTTCGGGCCTTGCCCGACGCGCACAGCCCTTCGGCAAATCGCCACTCTCACGGCGGCGGTGGCCGCCAGGTCGCGACCATCGCGGGCACGGCCGCTCCGCTCCGGGTTCCCGCGGCCAGCGGGCGTGAGTTCCCGCGAGGGACCGCCTACCCCTCTCCCGCCCCGGGCAGGACTGCGCCGCGCCCGGGATCTTTCGGACTCGCCCAGCGGCGCGGGCGGGCGGAAACGAAGCTCCGGCGAGTCCCGTCGCTTTGTCTTCGGCGCCGCGGCTGGATGGGGGAGACTGGGGATCGCTGGCCGGGTTGGGACCAAAACCGCACAGACTTCCAGAACAAACTCACCGGTGCGCGATGTGCGCACCCATACACAGCAAGCTTGCACGCGTTGATGCACACGCACACCCAGCGCGTTATGCCCGCAGGCGTGCAAAAACCCATGGGTGCCTGCGCACACGGCACCCAACGCTCGCGCTCAGCACACGGGGTGCACGCGTACACACGCCAGGCTTGGTCTGAACTCGCACGCACTGCCTGTCCCCCAACACACACACAGACACTGAAAATCCTCCTGTTTGGCCCCTCGGCCCCGGAGTTCCCAATTTCCCCGAGAGATGGCAAGGCCCTGCAGGAAGTTTACACGGCTGAACGTAAACACCTCTGGGGATTCTTTAATAATAATAATAGAGAATTCCGCGGCGCGGGGGAGTTGCCTCGTGCCCCGGTGGGCTCGGCCTGCCGCCGCCGCGGGGGCCTCTGACACTGGCGCGCCAGGCCAGGTTCCGGAAAGCAGACGGCGGGCGGGGCTCGGGCCGGGGCGGCCGTCGCGCGCCTGGCTGCCAGCCCGAGGGCTCGCACGCACGCCTCCTTCGCCAACCTCCTAGCGCCGGGGGCGCGCTAGGGCGGTGGGCGTGGGAGGCAGGCGCTGAGGAGCGCAGGACCGCGCAGGAGCCCCGCGGCACAGCACGGCGCGCACTGGACCAGGTGAGTGCCCTTGCCGACCAGAGGGCGAGACGCGCAGCACAGCCCGGCCCTTCTCTCTCTTTCTTTTTCTTTCTCTTTCCCCCCTTTGCAAGGTTCCGGGGCCGAGGAAGGGGCAGGGAGCGAGGAGGGAAGCCGACGGTCCAGTGCTCCGTGTGCGGGGTTGTAACCCCGCCCGCGGCTCTTTCAAGCCCACCGGCCTCTGGGTTTGCTCGGGACGCCTTGGGCTTCGGCAGAGAGACGCCCGGTCGCCTCGGAGGGCGCCTGGCGATCCCTGCGAGGAGGGGTGAGTGGGGGTGGGGTGGAGAGAGCCTTGCCCGCGTGGCCTGCGAGCCTGTGGCTTGCCTGCGCTGGCAGAGCCGGGCTTGCGGGAGAAGAGAGTAGCCTGCCCCTCTCGGCGCTTCCGCGGGGAAGCTGAGCGTGGGACGCGCCGCGGCCCGTGGTTGTGTGCCTGCCCAGAGAGAGACGCCCTGGCAAACCCACTCCCCTTCCCAAGCCAACTCCCTCCCTGCCCACGGCCTCCGCGGGCCTTCCCCGCGACCCCGGCACGCAGGCACAGGCTTCCCGCGCACTGCCATCACACAGGCTCGCGCGGCCGTGCCACTTGTGCGCTAACGAGCGTGCACCCGCGCGGGTCCTTAGCCTCTCCCTCCTCCATCTCGGTCCCCGCCCCCCCCCTTTGCCGGAGGCCGCGCCGCGCCGGAAGGAGCCGCTGCCGCCTGGCCTGTAGCAGAGAGGAGTGGGGGAGGCTGCCCAAGCTGCCGAGGGTGCAGCCGCGCCCGGCTGTGTCCTCCTCATGCCCACTCAGGGGCCTCCAGAGTGAGCCCAAACTTGGGGGCCCTTCCCTCTCAGGCCCTCTCCAGGGGGGGGGCTGTCAGTTTAGGGCCACCCCAAGGTCAGTTTTGCCTCTCTTCCTGGCCTCTCCGTGGGGGTGAGGGGGGGCCATCTTTCTGAGGGTTGGGGTCTCCCCTGGCCTCCGCTAACAGCGGCCCTGACAGCGAACCTGACCTCCTAGGGAGGTCTGTGCCCAGGGAGCCTCAGAAACCCAGAAGAAGGGAGCTCCCCAAGCCCTCGCCTCTGCTGAGCGGGAAGTCAGCTGGAGCTGCCAGGGCGGGCAGGCAGGCCCTCAGCTCCCTGTTGGGAACACTCTCATTCTGGAGCAGCTGGAGCCGAAGCCAGGAGGGCTCCCCCCACACCCAGGGACTACTCTCTGCTCCTAAGATGCCCCCAGAGGCCTCCCTTGAGCCCACATTTTGGGGGTGGGGAAACTGAGGCCCGGCCAGGCTCTGGAGAGTGGGGCCCCTCTCCATGAAATCTCAGCCCCTCAGCTCCCAGTGCCCCTCCTGGGCCGGGAGTGCGGGGGGTGGGGTGGGGGTGGGGTTAGGGGGGTTTCTGTCCTCGCACAGCCCCCAGCTCCCAGGCCCAAGGCGATAGAGGGGCTCAGGGGAGAGCTGCTGTGAGACCCCGGCCAGCTGTAGACGCAGCCACCAGCCGCAGGGGACCTGCCGATGGCTGCCTGCGCGCCAAGCCTTTCGCAGGCTGTGCACTCTGCAGTTACGATCCTGCCTCCCCGCCCGGTGCACACCTGTGATCCTGGTAGAGTGATTTTCTTCCAGGTCTCACCAAAGGCTGGTGGTCCACCCGCAAACCCAGGTATCACCCTGGTGAGTGCCCCCTGGACGCCTTCAGTCTCACAGAGGCCCAGGCCAGCTGGGTGCTGTCACCCTCCGCTCGCACAGAAGGGTTCCCGTCTGCCCCAGGTCCCCCTGCAGAGCCGGGCGCCAAGGCTAGTCGGGGTGCAGGACCAGGAAGCTGGGCCTCTGGTCTCCCTGCCGTGCACCGGCCACCGCGGGTGCTGTACCCGCTGTCTCTGCGCAATGGAGCCCATACTGGTGGTCGGAGCCGTCGGAGGGTGGGCTGTCCCAGCGGACCCCAGGAGAGCGTGCTGCAAACAGGGACCGTGTAGACTATGCAGAGAACCCCCTCTCACCCCAAATCCAGTGTGCGCCCAGCGCTGGCCCCAGGAATCCCAAAGTGGCCCGGTGTTGTGTTGGGGGGGGGTAGGTAAAAACAGACACGCCTGCGATGGCTCCCACTCGCCGGGTACAAGGTATTTTTACTGGCTAATTGCTTAAGTGAAGCCGGGCCAGAGAGCCCGCCGTAACCCGAGCGGGCAACCAGATCCAGCTCGGATTGTGCCGGGCCGGCCTCATGGAGGGGGCGGGGCGGACGCCGACCACCCACCGCGAGGGCAGCCGCCCCTGCTCTGCATTAACGCCAGGCCCCGGCCCCCTCGCCCTGCTCCCGCCAACACCCTGCAAAGTCCAGAGGTGCCCCCAGGTGGGGGGCGGCCCCCAGACCCGAAGCCAGCCACAGCGGTAGGAAGTGGCCCGTCCTGGGGGTGTCGGTGGGAGGGATGCCGGACACCACCGTCGTCGGGACATTTGTGACCGGAGATGCAGCCCTGGGGGACGGGACTGCCAGGGAAACGCCAGGGTCAGGAGCGAGGCCGACCCCATGCCTGGATTACAAAATAATCCATGTACAAAATGACAGGGGCTGCTCCCATGCGAGCTCCAGATGTGAGCACACCGGGCTGCTGCGAGCCTGGTGTGAGTCAGGCCGGCCACGCCGTGCTGTCAGTCAACCGTGGCAGGTGGGCGTCCAGCGTTTCGGGAGCATGTGGGCACCGGTGTGGCGGTTTCACGTGTCATGAATATTTGCAGCGTTCTGTGTGTGCACGGGGTGAGCACGTTCAGAGGCGTAAAGTGTGCGTGCAGCCGCGCTGCCACACAGCACCCCTCGGAGGTGTGCCTCGTGCCTCCCGCACCCACGCGGGATGGCCTGGGCCGTGGGACGTCCTGTGGGTCCTGCAGGCCGTGCACTGTTGGAGGTCAGGCACCGACATGAGGGCCATCATGGGAAGCACACACAATGCACTGCTGTGTGTGAGGCGTGCGGTGCCCCTGGGCACACGGCGTGGCACCCGGGCCCAGTGTGCTGCAGGCAGTGCCGGGGGCGCGCGTTCTGTGGCTGTGTGGACGGAGGGCCGGCAGGACCCTGCGCTGAGCGGGTTTCTGAGGCCCGTGCCCTTGCTGTGCTCTCAAGGTCACTGCCAGCTGGGCACGGGTGGCCTCGGAGGCAGATTGATTATGGGAAGCACAGTGTACTCCTTTATTTCCCTGCTCCCCGTCCCCGGGCGGGCGGTGTGTGAGCCCCCCCAGGGATGGCGGCCGTGTTTGCTGTGGCAGGAAGCCTGTGGGGAGGGGCCCGTCTGTCCCGAGTGGGTCTGCGATGGGCTGTGAGCTTGGAGACCGTGAAGCCCCCTGTCTGCGGCCACACAGAGCGAGGCGGTGGGGATCGGCCAGGGGGTCGGCCAGGGGGCCCCGGTGCCTGGGAGGACAGAGGCCGCTAGGGAAGCTCCCGGTCTGGGGGCACACCCCACTGCATCCATCGCCACCACTCAAACTCAGCCAAGAGCCAGCAGCAGTCAGATCGGGGGCCCCTGGGCCCCCAGCAGCCCTGCCCCCACCCCTTTGGCACAGAAGCCCCAGGCCCACCTGCGGGGACCGCCGGGGTCAAGTTTGGGGAGCAGCTGTGTGCGGGCTCTCCCTGGACGCAGGCCGGGCCGTTAATCTGCCTGTCAGCCGCACATTAGGGAGAGGGTCGTCGTCTTGGTCAGGGAGGAAAGAGGCCGGGCTGCGGCCCCCGCGCTCGCCCCTCACTTGGCCCTTTTACCCGAAAGCGCGCATTTCCATGACGTTCTTCAGTGAAATATTTGACAACATCGCAGCCCAGGAATTTACAGCTCTGCCCCGCGAGGCATCGGGAGTCTCCTGGCGTTAGCGCGCGCTGCTCTAAGAAACAAAGTGCGGGGTGGGGTGGGGGGGCACCGAGCCTCCCGGCAGTCCTGTGCTGGGTGCTGGCCCCCGCGCAGCCCCCGTAGCACTCGCCGCGTTTTGGGGGTCCTTCCCGCGGGGGGTGGGCGGCACGGCTATCTGGGCGCAGGCGGTGATGGCGTACAAAGGGACTTCCGATCTACCCTCCGGTGGGCTCCCAGCAGAGGAGCGACAGCAAATGAGTTTACACAGACACCAACCAAAGGAAAACCCCACACTGAATTCCAAGGGCCAAGTAGTTCATTTTTCAGATGAGAGTGAGAGATGACCCACCGCCCCCCACCCACGCGCCCCCTCAGGAGCGAGGAGGGTGAATGCCGCGAGGTGAGGGCTGGCCGTCTTTCCGGAAGCGCTGCGCGGTCTGGAGTGCCCGGTGCCCGAGGGCGCGAGCCTCCGGGGCTGCAGCTCCAGCCCGTGCTAGGCGTCTATTCCCGTTTGGGGGGCGTCGGGGAGTGGCAGCAAACGGGTGACTTTAGGGAGGAAACAAACTGTGCTCAGCCCTGGCACGGCTTGGGAAGCGAGGCCGGCTTCCCACGAACGGGGGCTCTTGGAGAGAGCGGCCGCGACGCCCTCTCCGCTTTTGTCCCAGCCGGGTTGTAGCTCTGCTGCTCCGGGAGCCGCGAAGGGCTTGCCCTGGGCGCGTGGGGGCTCAGCCGCCTCTCCCGGTCTGTTTCTGTTCTGAGGGTTTTTTTTTTTTGGGTGTGGGGGTGTTGATCGGTGGAAGCGAATGGCGTGCATGTAAACAGAGGGGCAGAGAGACACAGAGACCCCACCCCAGCCCCAGCCAGAGACCTGGGTCGTCAGACACGGGCCGCAGAGTTGAGAGAGAGCTTCATGGACACAGCTGTGTCAGAGCAGGCTCGGACACACACCCAGAGGACAGTCAGGACGGACAGATTCCCCGTCTCCTGCAGGAATGACCCCAGACCCCGGCAGAGGACCCCGCCCTCTGTCCTGAGTGTAGCCCCTCGCACAAGCAGGGGGAGCCCTGCAGGTGGCTAAGAGTCCAGTCCTGCCCCAGGGCACCAGCTCTGAGCCGTGGGCAAGTGATTTAACCTCTGGGGACTGGAGTGGCAACCATGAACTCCAGCCAGGGCAGTGTGG